AAACACAGAAGGCTTCTGGGAACAGAGGTATCAGAACACCCAGTCAACAGCAGAGATCCCCGTGCCTTTGCCCTCTAGAATTCAACAAGTGTCTCTATATCAGCTTCAGCGGTTCTTATGCCCACTGGCTAACAATCCTTCCACACTCTGAATTTCCCTCAGTTTCTGCTTTCTTGTAGCTTTGTTGTCTAATTTTAGTATATATAAGGTTAGCAGATAGCCATTGCAGAAAATGTTTTCACACATGTACATGATGTACTTTAATCATCCATGTATCTGCTCTCCTTCTCCTCCTTCTGCCTCCAGCTGATCCCCCTCCTCTTCCTGTATGACCAGTTTTCCACAATGACTTCCCATATCTTTGGGGCCAATTTTCTCTCTGGGTCTTCTGCTCCTATTTCATATCCAAATGTCTACACAAATTTGTGTGTCAAATGTCCAACTCAACAAAAATGAGAAAACAATCCCTTCATTTAAGCACAATTATCCACATTTTCATATAGATTTGGTGCCAGGCTGGCACAGAGCTAACTCGCCAGCCTACACTCGGGTTGTCCCTGAGCTCACTGTCTGCTTCTGGAACGAGCCGCTGTGTAGTTGGGGTGCCACTATTTAAGGATTAAGGCCATGCAGCTTTTGGATGCATCATGGTCATGTTTCCTCTTCACAACACTGGAAATATGCTACGGGACTCCTAACTCGCTCTGGAAGATGTCAGATTCCGAGTCACCCAGACTGATGACTCAGTTACAGAGTAAGACGAAGAGCCAAAAGTTTTAACACTGAAGCAAAGTTATAAAGAAATGTGAATAATGGGATCTCTAGTTGAATGAAGATTCCTGTATGTTATGAATATCTTTTTTATGTCTTTTCTTTTAAAAGTTTTTTTTTTAATTTCTGTTACAGGAAGTAAGTTAAATATAATTCTTAGTACCAAGCCCACCACCACTATCTACTAATAAAATTCTCTGCCTTACAGTGCTAGTGCAGAGAATACCTCCTACTAAAATATTTATTTTAAAGGGAAAATGTACTTCTCACAGTTCCACATGCTAGGAGTTCAAGATCAAGGATCCCATAGGCTTCGTGCCTGCTAGAAGTCAAGTACACACTTCTATTGTGTTCCCTTGTCGCTGCATTCTCTGAAGGGAGGACATTGTGACTTCAAGTTGATGAGGGCCAAAGCGAGAGTCCTTCAAGTTTGAGCCTCGTTGTAAGAAATCTAATCCTATTCCCGAGGCCAGAGTCCTGAAGCTACCTCCCAAAGGTCACATTCCTTACTACTTTGTATTGGAGACTGTGATACAATATATGTTTTAGTTTGGGCCATGTGCTGTGTAACTTTTCACTGAGGAATGTGAACAAATGTTTCTCTATCCCAGGTACAGACCAAAGAAATAATTCACCCAAATATGGCTTAGTAGAGCAGTGAGTTGACTGAAGTGACTTATAGGAATGTGGGTGAGGGGTTACTTAGAGAAACACAGATGACTCAGAGGCAGGTCTATCACTGAGACAACCACTGCAGCTTGGGTGACAATGTAGGAGCACTACATCCCTGGAGCTCCCTGTCTCACTTGCAGGCAGGTCTGTATGCCAGAGAGTGTCTTCTCCCCAGAAATAGCTTTACTGCTTTTATAATCTTGATTGTCAACTTGACACACCCAAGAGAGGGATCTTAATAGGAGAATTTCCTCAAATTAGATTTGTCTGTGAGCATGTCTGGGGGAGAGGGCATTTCTTGATTGCTAATTGATGTGACAAGACCCAGCCAGTCCACTATGGGAGGTACTGTCCCTGGGCAAGTGGACTTGGGCTATACAAGAAAGGCAGTTCATCATGATCTTGGGAACAAGCCAGTAAGTGCATTGCTCTATGGCTACTGCTTCAATCTCCTGCCTTGAGATCCTGCTGCAGCATCTCTCAATGGTGGACTATAACTTGTAATAAAAAATAAACCCTTTTCTTGCCAAGTTTCTTTTGGTATACTGTTTGTCACAGCAACAGAAACAAACTAGAAAGGAAATTGGCACCAGAAACAATGTGGCATTGTTGCTGTGATGGACTGGACCATGTTGTTTTTTGGGAGGTTTGAGGAAATGTTTGGAATTAAGCTGGAAAAGCCATTGAGGGCTGACTGCTTAATGCAACTCTTTGCGGGAGGGTGGGTGAGGCTAAAAGAATGGATGGAAAAACAGGATTCATCCTTTTGCTGCATCGAAGAAACACACCTCAACATCAAGGATAGACATTACCTCAAAATAAAATGATAGAAAAAGATATCCCAAGCAAACGGACCCAAGAAGCAAGCTGGTGCACTCATTTTAATGTCTGACAAAATAGACTTCCAACCAAAGCTAACCAAAAGAGACAGGGAAGGACAATACCTATCCACCATCAGAGGAAAAACTAACCAAGAGAACATTGTAATTCCTCACATCTATGCACTAAAACCAAGGGCACCCAAGTCTGTAAAAGAAAATGATTATTACAGCTTAAATCATGTCTTGACCCTGACACAATGATAATGGGAGACTTCAATATCCCACTCTCACCAATAGACAGGTCATCCAGGTAAAAACTGAGCAGAGAAGTGTGAGAGATAACTGATGTTATAAATTAAATGGACGTAACAGATATCTACAGAACATTTGATCCAAACACAAAAGAACCACATGGAACGTTCTCCAAAATTGACCACGCACTCAGACACAAAGCAAGTTTAAACAGACAAGAAACTTGAAATAATTCCCTGCATCCTATCAGACCACCACAGACTAAACCTGATATCAATAACAACAGAAAGCTTACACATTCATGGAATCTGAACAGCTCACTACTGAATGAAAAATGGGTCAATAGTGGGCTGTGGTGGTGCACACCTTTAATCCCAGTACTTGGGAGGCAGAGGTACACGGATCTCTATAAGTTTGAGGTCAGCCTGGTCTACAGAGTGAATTCCAGGACAGCCAAGGATATTACACAGAGAAACCCTGTCTCAAAAAAAAAAAGCCAAACAAACGAACAAAAAACACAAACAAAAAAGGGAAAAAGAAAAAAATGGGTCAAGAAAGACAGAAATTGGGAAAGAAATGACTTTCTAGAATTGAGTGAAAATGAATACATAGCATACCAAAACTTATGAAAAAAATGAAGGTGGTTCTATAACCAAGTGCCCAGGTTAAAAAAATGGGAGGGGGAGATGGAGAGACCTCATACTAATTAACAGTGCACCTGAAAGCTCTAAAAGAAAGAAAAATAATCACACCCAAAAGAAGTAGACAACAAGAAATAATCAAACTCAGGACTGAAATCAATAAATCAAAACAAACAAACAGATTCAAGAATCAATGAAATGAAGAATTGCTTCTTTGAGAAAATCAATAATATAACCAAACAAAACCCTATTCAAATTAACTAAAAGGTAGAGAGAGAATATCCAAATTAACAAAATCAGAAACAAAAGGGGGCTATAACAACAGACACCAGAGAATCAGATAGATAATACTTTAAAAACTGTACTCCACCAAATTGGAAAGTCTAAAAGAAATGAGTAATTTTCTCTACAGATACTACTTACCAAAGTTCAATAGAGATCAGTAAGCAATTTAAACAGGCCTATAAATCCTACTGAAATAGAAACAGTCATTAAAATTTTCTCAAGCAAAAACATGAAGTCAAGGGCAGTATGGTTCTAGTGCAGAGGGTGGGGAGGAACTGGGAGGAGGAATAGAGGGAGGGGAAATTATAGTCATGATGTATTATATGACATGAAAACTGTTTTTAATAAATGGGAAAATGCGGGAAGAGGAGAGGGAATTGATGAGCAAAATGGAGACAGTAGAGGTAGGCTTGTGACATTTCTGTTGGAAAAAAAAACTGTATCAAGGCTGTTCATGTGGTATTCTGTGTAAGTAAAGCTTGTATGGATGTGATTGTCTGTGGCTGAAGAGTGAGTTATGATGACTAAGACACCAGCATCATTGAGTCAGTTTTCTGGCAAATATTTTTTGCAGAGTCAGCACACATAAGCCATGCTGCAGTGGGCCAAGGTTGGGTCTTAAATTGGCAGTCTAATTTGGCAACGTATGAAAGTCTCTCATGGGATACTCAGGAGGCACAGAAGCTACAAGACTGAAGGGGTCATCCAGGAAATGACACTGGTGAAGGCCAAGCCTCCTGCAATGGAGGCCTCAAGATACTGTAGATGTAAGGACTGTGGGTGACAGTGGCAGATATGGAATGGAGCCATCCTGAGCCTAGCTGTGTGTGCTTCAGGTAGCAGAGCCAAAGAAAAAGCTGTTCAAGACCCTTGGAGTCAGGAGATCACGAGAAAGTTCCAGATGTCCAATGTTGAGTTAACTATACTATTGGTATTTGATTTTACTTAAGTACGATTAGAACTGTTCCTGATTCTTCCATTTTGGAATTAGAAAATAAGCAGTTTAGTTTTGATTTTATAGGAACCCACAGGTAAGAGGCTTTGGATTTAAAACAATATAATACATTTTTAAAGTGTTGAAAACTTACATATCATGAGACATTTGAAGTTGTATTGTGTGTTATATTGTCATGTTAACATGTGATCATGGTAAAAAGTAAAGGTTATAGTTTAACAATGATGTGTTTGTATGTCAAGCTGACAAGTGGTAGACTTGAGATAACTCACCTTGGCTGTCAATTTGACATACTTAGGAAGAGAGAACCTCACTTGAAGAGTTGCCCCTATCAGACTGGTCTGTTAGCATGTCTGTGTGGCATTCTCTGGATTGTGAATTGATGTGGTTGGGCCCAGGTCACTGTGGGTGTTAACCATTCCTTTGCAAGTGGTCCTGGTCTTCATAGGAAAGCTGTCTGTGCAGGAGCTAGAGAGATAAAACCAGAACATTGCTCCTCTGTGGTTTCTGTCAGTTACAACTTCTAAGTTCTTGCGATGGCCTCTTGCTCTCAGTTCCTGCAGTTATGGACTGTAACCTGAAATAAACAATTTCCTCTCCCAGGTCATGGAGTTTACCACAGCGACAGGGAAGTAAACTACAACACTAGAGGTATGCTAAATCGTGTACATTTTGCAAACGTTCTGGGTCTCGTACAAATTTTCATTTCATGAGTCTTAGGAGCCTCCCTCCTCTCTCCAGGAGGGAATGTTTATACTGAGGGGAAATGGCTGCAAGTTTCCTAGATTATAAATTCCTAGCCATGGTGAATCATTGAAGTTCTAATCTTCCTCTGCCTTCAGTTAGCCGTAAAGAAAATTTCCAAACTTACCCGTTGTCTGATAATAATATCCTCCTCATTCTAGAAGAATTTTGCCTTAGTTCTCTAGAAAATTTGGCACAGAGGGGTTCAGTTGGATCTGAATACACACAGACCTTGTTGAGTTTCCTCTCCCAGCCTATGAGCCAGAGTGCCTATGTACTGAACCTTCATAAAACCTCCAAAGTTCAGGGAGTTTCCAGTTAACCAAACACATGAACATTAGTAGAGAGAGGGTGGAGAGGACTTAGAGGCCCTGTGTCCCAAACCACCCTATGCATGTATTCATTTGTATCCTTTACAACAACATGCCTGCAAATATCAGCCAGCTTCTCCAAGTTCTGTGAGTGATTCAAGTAAATTAATCAAATTCAGGGAAGAGGTGTGGGAACCATCTCCCTGTTACTCAAAAGCTCAGGTAGAGTAATCTTGGTGTGTGACTGGAATCCAAAGCAGTTTTGGGAACTGAGCCCCAATCTGTGAGGCCCGATGCTATTTCCAGGAAGATGGTGTCAGAGTTAAATTGGATTAGCAGACAGGATCTGGATTAGAGAGGAGCAGCTGGTGTCCACTGCAGCAGAACTGCTTGCTGGTTGTGGAGAATTCATGTTGGAGGTCACAGAAATTCTGTGTTGTCTGCGATATGAGAATGGATGGAAACTGGAGGGTTTTCTTTTTTCTTGACAATGGTATTAAACTAAATGAATTTTGAGCACAGACATAAATATTCCAACTACAGAATCTTCTTTGTTTTACAGATTGATTGATGGTTGGCAGAAATACCCTCCACAAAATGCATCGCGGATATTTTAACTGACACCTAGAACTCACTGTCTTGTAAGGGCATTATCTTACTCCACACAAAGAACTCTGTAAGTTTTAGATAATTGTTTCTAATATTAAACCAAAATGTCTTTCCTGAAACTTGGTTTTAGTCATGTTAGGTCTTTCTTGTAAAACTATATGGAGAAAGTCTGTTTCTTCCATCTTCAGAATAGACTCTCAACTCCATCAATTCAGCTATCAGGATGCCAGTTTTCTCTTTTCCATGTGAAACATAGTCTGTTTCCTCACTAGTTCTTCATATAATATGGGATTAATATACCTCACTATCTAGTTACCTTCTCTTACACACATTTTGTTTAATATGAATTTTTAAACTGTAGGTTGGTAAACTGTGGGTCAATCAATACAGAAGGAGGAGAGATGGGGGACAAATAAGACCAGGGATGTTTGATAAAAATCTCAAGAAATCATAATATTTCAAGTTTACCTAAAATTATACTATATTTATATGTATCTTGAGGTAAGTAATGTCAATTGGGCTGATAATGCTCACCACAAAAAACAACAACAAAAACAAAACAAAACAACAACAACCACAAAATCCACCAGTATCAATCAGAAGAAAACTTTCCAACAGTTGGTCAAGATAGTCCAAGTGACTCCCAAAACAGTACAGACTATTGATGTAACCCTTGGCTGCCTCTCTGAAGTTTAAGTTAAGTTCATATTGATGAAGACACAGGGTTTGGATTATTTGATTTGGATATAACCTGCAAACTCCCTTGCTGGAATTTAGCTTCCATAGTATCAGAAAGTCCTATGGAAGCTGCCAATGGAGGGGAGCAATTAATAGTTCTGAACCACAGTGATGACCAACATGGCAATATATCCCTAAAGTTGCATAAACAACACTTAGATATTGGTGATAACCTACAACTGTCAAATTGGACTTAAGAGGGAAATCATGTCTGGTACTGGAAAGCTAGTCAACATCTTGGGGCTAGTGAGATCATGTACTTGAGAAAAAAATCTGCAACCACCACTTTGCTAGAGCAGAAAACTTCCTAACTACATTATAAATGTTATTCTTATACCCACAGGTAAGTGTAGCTGCCATTCCTCATCAACAAAACTTCTCTTTACAGCAAGATCATCACAGAAAAATCACATCTAGACACAATGCTAGATCAACAGATTGTGGTGAGCCCAACCCCAATGGATAGATACATCTATTTCACAGCTCCTGCTTCTATGATTCAGGGAGCATCATGGAAGAGTGGATAAAAATATTGTAAGAGGCAGAATGCCAGGAAATCAGCTATGAAGTATTCTCTCCTAGAAATGGCTGCATAAGCAAGACTAGGACAATGTCAGTATCAACAGACATGCTAATATGGGAGGGAGAAAGTTCATAGGATCTCACCCCTAGACAAAGAACTACAGGTAACTAGTGACTATTAGGGGAGAGAGAATTAGCCTTCCCCAGGGATGAGTCCCCTTATTGGTTACCAATAAAAATTGCTTGAGAACATATATACACGAAATACTAAAACAGACTCAAGAGGTTATATTTCTATGTCTGTACATACATATATGTATATATGTAATAATAATAAAGAAAAGGGCTATCTGGAAAATTGGGGGGATAGAAGGGTTTGGAGGGAGGATAACTGAGAGGATCTGGAGGGAGGAAAGTTATGTAATTCTGTTTCAATGTACAATGCATAAAATTAATAATAATGAAAAATAACACATAGGTTATACTCGTCACTTCTTTGTCACCATAACAACACTTGAGGCAATTAATTAAAAAAGAAAACAACAAGAAACAAACTTACTTTGGCTCATGGTTGTGGAGATTCCAGCACAAAATTGAGGACTCTCCTGCCACCCTGACTTGGAGTTCTGTAGTAAGGATGACACTTCATGTCATGAATGCACAACAAAGGAAAACTTTCACCCCATGTTCCAGTAAACAGGAAGAAACAGACAGAGACCATGGAACAACAGTCCCATGGCCTAGTAACCTCCGAGAGACTGCACCTACTAATGATTCAACCACTTCTGATCAGTCGCACTCTGGGGAGCAAATCTTCGCTACATGGTCCGTGAAAGACATCCAACATCCAAACTATAACAAGGTTATTAAACTACATCTTTAAAAATTCAAAAGTAGTTTGTCTCACCAGTACATGAAGTAAGGGCACAGCTTGGCCCCTTGCTAAGTTCAATTTCTACTAATGCCTTCTAAAATTTGTAGTAGTTTCTGTTAAAAATAATATTCCCCTTTTTGACTCTCATTGAACTTTAAATCTTTGTCAAGTGAACTTCTGTCAATCTGAAGCTTGCCTACCTTGTATTTAAGTAGTTGATTCTTTGAACTTGGATGCAAAACTTAACATTTAACCCTATTAACTGTATATTGTTAATTTCATTCCATTCTTCTCTTTTTCAAGGTCTTTTGACTTAGTTTGATTCTTTAATCTGGTTAATCAGCTTTACCTCCAACTTTCAGGCAAGTGTGAAGTTGACAGGCCAACGTTTTGGGTTCTGTTTTTATTTTTGAATGAGACAGGATCTCACTATATGACTCTGACTGGTCTTGAACTCACAGGGATCTTTCTGGGTGCTGGGAATAAAGCTGTGTTTGCCATACCTGGCCAGTCCAGGTATATATTAAAATTCAAAAGACTAAATGACTTTCTGGCACAGTGTAGAATACAGACTTAATCCTGACTTAATGGAGGTGCTAACAAAGGAAGGAGTGGAATGTGGGATGGATTCTCATCTAATAATTTAGTTATATTTTTCAGCATACCCACAAAACCAATATGATCAGCCTTTTCAAATATCTTTGATGCCCCTCACTGGGAGAAAAATAAAAATTAAAACCTTGACTATCATAGGAAGGTAGAGAATGACTTCGCAATGGTTCCCAAACCTGAGAGTGTTAAAGAATCACTCAGGACTTGTGTTCAATATGCTTGATCCCTGAGTCTCATTTCCTGAAATTTGGATTCAGTGAGACTGAGACGTGACTCCAGGAATGTGCATTTTTAACAAGCACCATATGCTATTCTGATGCTTTTGGTCTCAGGCCACATCTTAGAAGCATCTTCAGAAAGTTTCTTTAGGTTGAAATTGACGATGTACTCCCTAGTTTTAACAGGGCGCTGTGGCTTTTCTGGCACAGTGTAGAATAGAGAACTAATACTGGCTGGCTGAAGGTGTGAACAAAGGGAGGAATGTAAGGCAGGTTGGTGCTCAGCTAATAATCTAGCCATGTTTTCCAGCTTACTCACAAAGCCAATATGATCAGCCTTTCCAAATACTGCATGTAATTAGGTGAATTGATATCTTCGGGGCCCCTCACTGGGAGAAGGATAAAAAGGGATGCTTTGCATGACCCATGCTTCATGAACACATGTTGCCTCTTGGTGATCACTACTTTCCTTTTCAAGTGCTCAGAAATCACATGCTGCATCTGCTGGGACTCTGAAAATTAAGCAGTGTCTTGTATTAACCCCCAGAATTGACCTCTACTGCTTCCTATTTCCCCTGTAAAAAGTTAGGGTGTGCATGCTTAGGTGGCATTGTCTGTCTGTCTTTTCTCTTTTCAGTGTGTGTGTGTGTGTGTGTGTGTGTGTGTGTGTGTGTGTGTGTGTACTTCTAGAGGCTAAAGCAATGGTTCACAACCTTCCTAATGCTGAGACCCTTTAATACACTTCCCCACATTGTGGTGACCCCCTCCCAGCATAAAATTATTCCCTTGCTACTTTGTAACTGTAATTTTGCTACTGTTATGAATCGTAGTGTAAGTATCTGATATGCAACCCTCCCCAAAGCCGTTGTAACCCACACATTGAGAACTACTGTGCCTTTCCCTTAAGACAGGGTTTCTAACAGACCTGAACTTGTCAAATAAGTCAGCAACCCCAGAGATGTGCCCATCACTACCTCTTCCATGCAGGATCACGTGTGTGCACCACCATGCCTAGCTTTTACATCGATTTTGGTGACCAAACTAAGATCTTCATGCTGCAAGGCAAGGACTTTAGCAATGAACTCGTATCCCCAACTGTCTGGTTGTCCTTATTTTTAATACTTCTTCAAAATAATAAGAATCTAAGGACGAGGTACTTTAACCAGTAGATATTTTTTAGTTTCCCCCCCAAATATGTCTTCTAAGAAATTGTAAGGATCACCAGAAAACTCAGAAAGAAGGCATCTTTCTTAACTTAGATTAATGCTTGTTTGCATTCTGCCCTGCTTGTGCGGATTTTCCTGACCCAAGGGATCATTGTATTTCTTCAGTCCCCTTTCACAGAACAATTCCTCCACCCTGTCTTTGGCCTTGCTAGATGCACACTTGAGTTCTCAGAGTGCATTTAATTTTGCTTGCTTACTTTCTTTTAGTTTTGTTTTTTAGATTATGTATATTTAGACAGTAAAACAAAAGAGGTTTTACCAAAGCCAATGCTAAACATTGCTCCTGAAGGCAGAGTAAGGTTGTACCTAACTCTTTGCCTTTTGTATAAAGGAGTCTAGAGAGGGTCGATCCTAAGTAAACAAAGAAAGGAAGGCTAGAAGGAAGGTTCTAGGCTACTGAGGAGTCTAAAGACACAGTAAAATGCTAAGGGCCTACTCCAACAAAGTCAGCTAGCAGATCTGTCCCCACAGGAAGGGACCTTACTGACCATCCCACTAGCAGAAAAACAGTGGTGGGAAGAATGGCCTGGATACAGATGGATTATACATCCCCTGCCCTCAGTCTGCAGAAGGAGGCCCAGGTAGTGACTCTCTCACCTATGATACTGAGTTGCCCATTTCATTCTCTGGGTGACTCTCTCTGATTACTTGCAGAGGCATGAAAGTCCCCACTCTTCTCCCAGCTTAGGACAGAATCTGGAAGTTTCTCATTGAGGCTCTGTGAAGACTGCACCTCAGCTCAATTTCCCACTTTTCTCAGCCTGCCTTCCAATCTTCCTGGTTCTTGGCACCCAAGAATTTCTCCGTATCTTTCTGCGTACCCATCTACAGGCACTACCTTGACGACCTCTTGCTGCCTACATAAATCTTTCCAACCCTGTCGTTTATGTGTCAATAGCACCCTCCATTCATTTTATTCCTGAGGAAATGGAGGCTGAGGAGAATGGGTAAGTAACTGCTCCAAGGCACTCCCCCACCTCCGAGAAGGGGAGGAGGCTTTCCTGAAGATAGTCATTCTGAGCGTTTGCAGTCGGCTCACCTGCCCTTCCCTTGCCTATCAATGACATGGAGACTGCAGTTGCTTCTATCCCAGGGCACTATAGAAGAACTTCCCGAAGATCTACCATGGGAGAGGGTTTGTTGCAGTTGTGTAAGACTCTGTGGGAAAGGTGGTGCTTGCCTGTCTTTTTACTCTCCCGTGGAGTCTTACAGGGGAGGTAGGACTTTCTTTGTCAGTTCAACTACATTTCCCAGGGCTCATCTTTCCCCTGGCAACTGGATACAAGTGCCACTCACCCTCTGTGTATACACAGTGCTAGAATGAGAGGCAGACAAGTTCCTCTTCCTCAACACAGGAGTGACAATGAGTGCACATTGAGACTGAGTGATATAGCAAAGCCAGGGTGACAGTCCTTATGCGTTCTGCTCGTTATTAACAAACACTTCAAGATTTAACTTATGCAGAAATCTGCAAGGCCACTGTGCATCTGTATGGAGACTGAAGCAATTATTAAGAGGAAGGTTGAAATTTAGAGGGAAAATGTTTTTGTTAGAATTGAGGCTTTCAATCCCAAGATAGAATGATGGCTAACTGTCCTCACTTTCTTGAGAATTTTGCTGAAACAGAACCTTTGACAAGCTGGGATAGTTGGTGGCACTACAATGAATTTTATGACTCAGTACTTTTAACTATGGAGTGTCTTCCCCTATATTGAAGATACTTTCTATTCTTTTAAATGGTATTTCTATGTCATTGTTCATCTAAGAAACTGCCGATTGAAACTGTAACAGCGAAAAAAGTAAAAACTGAAAACTATCAGAGCTCATACTACAGTGGTCAGTATTTAAACCTTTCATATTTCCACATGTCCCTGTATGTGAGTGTGTGTGAGAGTGTGTTATGAATATAAACCTGGGCAGTGCAAATAATTTTGTGGGCTGTTTTCCCATCAATAAGCATCCTTTAAACTCCCATTGCTAATGGTTGCGTGGCCTCCATTGAGGATGCTCGAATCTTTAACCACTTTGCAGTTCAATATTTTTGCTAATTTTTGCTATGAAAGGTAATGTTGCTGTGAATATTTTTAGGACTCTAATGATTTCTTTTGGAAAAGCTTCCAGGAATTTATTGAACAAAGCCTTGGAGGCATAATTAAAAGCCACTGTATCTTATCTCTGGAGCCCTCTTGGAAGGCTGTATCTCACAACACAACACCCACTTGACTACTGCTAGTATCTAGGTTTTTCCAAGTTCAGCAGCCTTAGAGTTAAGAAAAGAAAATTTCTCCACACAGTCTTAATTTCTTTGTTTACTAGCACAGTTCAAACGTCTTTCATCTCTTCCTCGTTTGAATTTTCCTAAAATTGTTTGTTCATACACTTTCCCAGAACTCTTATTGAGTTTTAAGATCTTGCTTCTCATTTGCGTAAACTAGTTACAAACTTAGTATAATAAATCTTTTTATGACATCCATGTTTTGAACACTTTCTTGACTTAAGTTTGGCAGGCTCTTTAAAAAGTGCAATCCCTAGAAAATGTTAACTGTTTGTAATCTTTAAATGATGAGTTAAACGCTATACATACACCTTCATTGAAGATTCTGCTCCTCCCACTCTTAGCTCATTAACATTGACTGAAATTGTTCTATAATGCCTGAAAATGATATGTCACGTACATGTGATGAGGAGGCAGCCTACCACGCAGAGCTGGAACACATCAGATACACTGTGCACCTGCCCCCATAGTCCCTGATTTTTCTAAGATGGGACTACCATGCCACTCGTGTTCTTATTGTTCCCTTTGCTTTTAATGCCTATTCCTAGTTTTATGGTGTATGCTTGTTCCTCTAATCATGCATGTGTTTTTCTTACTTTTGAGCTTCAGAAAAATATCTTCATCTTTTATCTCATATTCTGACTTACTTTTTTTCCCAATATGGGTATAGAGGGTTTTTTTGTTTGTTTGTTTGTTTTTGAGACAGGGTTACTCTGTATACCTTTGGAGTCTGCCCTGGAACTCTGTCTGTAGACCAGGTTGGCTTCAACCTCACAGAGATCTGCCTGCCTCTGCCTCCCAAGTGTTGGGATTAATGGTGTGTGCCACCAACTTATTTTTTTCTCTATGGGTATAGAAGTTTTTTTCCTCTCTGTGGATACATAGTTTATCTATATTTCATGGGAAGATGTGGCCCAGTCATTTTCACCAGTAGATAATGTTTCATATCAATGTTGGAGTGCATATTCTTGGAGCCTACAGGTGAGGGTTTCTCTTAAGGCTACAGGTAGGAGTAATATTACTGGTTTGAAGTCTATGTTCAAGATCTGCTTTAGAAGCCAAGGCTAAGTAGTTTTCCCCAGTGGTTGTACTAATTACAACCCCAACTGCAGACTTTAAGATCATGTTGTTGAGTTTCCTTGCCAATACTTTGATATTTTCAAGTGCTGAAATCTGCTAGCCATTTTCACCCAGTGGATTTGCACCAACGTTTTTTTAGACTTTTTTGTCCAAGTTCCCACACCTAAAAAGCAAATCTCTAAAACAAATCATACCCCTCTCTTTTGGATTTTCAGTTTCTCGGTACGGTCAGACACTTAACAAACTGTTCATATCTGTCGTGCTGAGCCTCGTGTTCCCCCCTGGTAAGAGGTGGTCACATGACCAATAGATGAAGGGCCAGTAGATTGAGTGAAATTTAAGAAGCCAGTGTTCTAGGCTGCTTCTGCCCCTGACGTTCTGCAGAGCATGCATCCATGTGGCATCACCTCTCTGCATCCTAGCTGCTCAACAGGCAAAACAGAGCCGACCTTTTCTCCCCTCCTGCTGTCAGGATGAAGCCCTGCTGCCGAGCACTTTGAAATCTTTGGATGACAAGCACGACAGAAGCGCCAAGTATAATCGCTACCCGTGCCAGAAACACTAGAAGACTGCACAAAAATAGGAAGCAAAGAAATTTTCACGTTGTGCAAGCTTCAGTGAGAAAATTGGCCGGTCAGAATGTCATTCCCTGTTTCTGGTTCACATAGTCACTGGCTTTTATAAAATTAGGAGGGAAAAGAATAAATGTACACATTTCGTTTTCTTTCTTTTTTCTTTTTTGTCTTTGCCAGGCAGAAGTCTTTTGAGTGCCTTGATTCTTGCGAGACCCAGGTGAGTCACTGCTTTAGAAGGAAGGGTGATGCCAGAGGAGCTCCAGTCAAAACAGTTCTCACAGGCGTCCTTCACACTCCACCTTTCATCCCCAGGCATCTAAGCCATAAAGTCGGAGAGGATGCTACAGGCCGAGAACTGGGGAGAGTCCAAGCCTTGATACTGTCAAAAACTAGTCGTTGATCTACTTGCAATAGAAACAGAGCATCCTGTGACTGTGGCCTTACTACCTTCCAGTTTATCTTCTTAGACCTCCTTCCTGCCCTGTATGTGAGAACATGAGAGACGCCAAGAGGGGATCTTTTCAACAACCTTTGATAGATTAGGAACCACAGAATAAGGTGAGTCATGCCCATTAATGCGAAGGCTCGTTCTAAAATTGCCTTAGCCGTCATTTGAATAGCTCGTATCCATCTTGGTTTGCTGCTCTAAGTGAGTTGTGATGCGCCATAATCACCTTTACTTACAAATTCGATGGGCTGTGGAGACAGTTCTAAGCCACAGAAAAGGCGTTTCCCACTCTGGGCTTCGAATCTCAAATGGGAGGTTTCATTTGATTTATTTTTTCTCCCCTGCTCTAGATCTTTACACTGAAGATCTTAAAAGTCAAAATTGCACAGGGTGGTTTGGCTGCTGCACCCCACAGAGAAGTTCAGAAAGTAAAAGGTAAGGGAGTGTAGCCTTAGGCTTGTAAGGGGGACATGAGTGACGTGTGTCCACCCACAGGAACTGTTCTGTGAAGTTATGAATCATAGTGTACTCGATGCCTAATTTTCACCCAGGAAGGGAAAGCTACTGAGCACCGTTGAAGTGTTTTGTTCAAATGTTTCACCCAGAGAGGGTCCTCATAATGTCTTCTGGGGGGATGTGTGCTCTAATTGATATAATTAAATTATTGCCATAAAATTGGTGTGGTGTGACTCCAGTAGGAATCCTTTCCATCAGGAACCATTTCTTAAGAAAACCATTGTCCACTCTAGTATCCAAGTCACATGGCAATCTGTTTATTCTATTCTTTTACCTCCTCAGGAGGGGCATGCTCAACAGATTTGGAGTTACCTCAACAAAGAAATTAGTTGAAAAGTGAAATGCCAGCCTGCTGATAGTTTCCTTTTCTGCCCATACCTAATAAATTGCTGAAGTGATTTTTTTCCTTTAAATTGACAGATTATTTACTCCTGTGTGAGTTACAATGCTGCGAGGGTCTTTTCAAAAGTGTGTGTGTATGTGTGTGTGTGTGTGTGTGTGTGTGTGTGTGTATGTGTGGTGTGATGTGGTGTGGTGTGGTTTTAAGTTTAAAACTGCTCACACTAACCTAAAATTCAATTTCCCTTCATCAGTTTCATCTTTATCTGATTTCTTAACAATGACAGGGTAGGAAATAATGGTCCAGCCTTGAAATGTCACCATGATGGCGGGTATAGAGAAACATAGGAAAATAATACCATGCTAAGTGGAAAACACCCTGACAGATATCCAATGGTGTGTCCTTCTGTATGTATGATGATATGTGACACTCCTATAAACTGTGTTAAGAGGTGTCAGACTTAAGATGTGATTAGGTCACAAAGTCTTTCATCAGTGTATTAAAACTGTGTTTGTGGGAGTGGGCTTTTGATGAAGGAAAAAGACCTTTCCTGCTGCCATATTAGGACATAGCATGGAGAATAATCAGATGATGGTACCTGTTTCTGGACTTCCTGTCTTCTAGAGCCATAATTCATCTTGTTCATAGAACACCCAGCCTGCAATACTATCTTACGGAAGCATAAAACACATGAGGGCATCATGATTTCAGAAGTTGTGTATATGAGTGAAAATTGAAAAGAACCTAGAGAAAAGAAACAGATGACTGATTAAGATGTCAGAAACCTGAGAATTCCTTCCACTTTGTGTTTTCCACCAACATTCTTACAATATTGCTTGTATAATAAACATGGCTGTAAAGGTATCCAGTTAAATGCAAGAGAAGATATATATAATATAATATATGTATATATAATATATATATATATATGTAAGGTATAGGTTACAGGTCCCTTCCTGTTCAACGTGGTTGGTGTGAGCGCCCAGCTTGTTAAGGCCCCAGGTGGGGAGAGGAAGCTGGGTTATAATCAGCTAACATTTCTGTGTCAGCATTTCTAGCAAATCACTTGTAGGGTTTTTGAGAAGAAAGAGGCCTAATTCTCCAGCACTCCTGTAATTTGTCATGATATAATTTCTCATTCTAAGTAAATATTCAGTTTCATGCCTAATTTTGTATTTGTAATTCCGCATCTTTTTCTTAACGAGGGTTCCTATAATTGGTTCGGCATCATGTCTCACATACTCTGAAGGTGCCTTTGGTTAGTTAGGTGGGTCGTGCACAGTGAACTGGAGAGCTAGCAGGGGCTCCCACCCCAACTTTTCTACGAATTGCTGTCTCCTGTACAAAATGTTACTGTGGCCAGGGTTTCCTCCCTCACCACATTCCCTGATTTCCCTGGCCTTCTAAGCAGCTTGGAATTCTTAGTCATAAGCAAAGCAGCTGGAAACACTGGTTTAGAAAGGAATGGGGAAGCGCAGTGACATCATGTCCAGACACTCTTTTTATTCCTGACTAAAACCCTTGCTGCAGGCAACTCATAGAAAGGTTTTCCTTTTCTGAAAAACCAGCCAGCTGCCATTGGTTACTCTAAACCTCTGGGCTAGGTAGAACAAGTTTAACCACATTAGATGAAAATGGCAGAGGAACAGAGACAGAAACATTAGTGTTCCCCCCTCCTCCCACCAATTCCTTGTTAGTTATGCTGTGTGGTGTTTGTTTGATTTAACCACAATAACATTCTGAGAAGAGTGTTATTATTTTTAACTTCCAAGATTGCCAGATTTAGCAACAAGAAATAGAAGTTGACCAAATAAATTGAATTTCAGGTAAACATACTTTTTAATACATGCGTTCCCTTTCTTGGAATTGACAAGACCTGTAGAAGTGCCATACATTTTGACAGGATACCCGATCATTATTCCCATTTGGGAGCTCATGAAACCAAAGACCAGAGCTTTGTAAGAAGCAAAGATGGTACCCAAACCCAGGGCTTTGCTTTTTAAGCACTGCTTTAGTATCCCCTGACTGTATCATGAAGTCATGTAATATCAGCTCTCCTCCACCCTTAGATAAGTGAGAAATTAATTGGCCCTTAGAGGAGAACTTCCTAAGCTTCGAAAACAACAAATGAACTCTTTGCTAAGAGAGTCCCCAGGAAATTGCATCTAAGAATTTCAACATTGCAGACAGGATTCCTGGGAAGAAAGGCAACAGGACCTCAGCTGGAGGGAACACTGAGAATGTGTGGCCTTAAGAGGGGGTTGAAAGCCCAGAGCAGTTTTGTCTCTCCTGGAATGCAATCTCCTGAAGGTGCTGGCTGTGAGAGGGATAACAGGCTGGGGACTTGCGGGTCCTCTCACCTGGGTGTTAGTGGCACCGAGACCCACTCACATTTCCTGCCCTCTGACACTGCTGATTTACCTTCTCCTCCCTTCTACACGCTGCAGAACTAATTGCCTGCTTAATTGCCAAAACTAATTGCTCTGACGTTCACTGTTCATCTGCTCCCTTCTCCGGCTTGCATTTGGGCAGACTGGCTCCCCCAGGGAAAGGCTGGGATAATGCTTGCTTTGGGGATAAGGTGCTGCAGATGATGGCCCAAGAGCTGTTTTTCTTGTGGATATCGACCAAGGAAGCATCTCCCTCACTTCTGGAAGGACAATAGCTCTCAGTGGAGTAGGAATGCTTCCTGAGTCTATCATGCTGTACCTTGTACTTTTCATGGAGAGTTTAACATTAGGGTTGGAGATTAAAGCTCTGAAACCCAGAAATGTTAACGCTTTTCCCAAGTCACAAACTCCTTCACAGCAGGGTTGTATCTGTGACTTAGATTTCCCAATCCATAATCCAAGATTTCTGTCATCTCATCCTTCAGTTATTAGAGTTATAATAATCATCCTTTTACTTTTCCATGCAAACATTATTAAATAGCTATTGGGTAATATTTCCTTACTTGTGACTAGATTAAGATTCTTTTACATCTATTGAGTTGTTATGGTTATTAAGCCTTTTCTATGTATTGTTTCATATAACCTCAAAAGAGAATACAAGTCTACTTTAAGTAAGGGGAAACTGAGGCAAAGGATGGTCAATAACTTGCCATATGTGTTCTATTGTGCTTACAGCTTCTGGATTCTGATTTATGGATGAACTTGTGAAAGCATTTAAGTGCTGGAATGGAGCCACTCAAATCTGATCCAACTGATTCTGCAATATTACATAGAGGCGGGAACCATGTGTTCCCATGCTTCCATATTGCCGAAATAAATATAAATGATTACTAGACCCGCTTGCAATGAACTTGAGGAGGTATGAAGAATTTCTGCAATTCTCCGGGTAGTGGAAAACCCAGTGGTTTAGAGGCAGAAGCTAGGTGTATAGCCCTGGGGGTGCCTAGTGTGCCTCAGATTCCTCAACTCTGAAATGAGGGATTTAGGCTCCAAGGTCAGAAGATCCTCCCCTTCTGTTCTTTCAGGTTGGTGGAAGCACACAATGTCAGAGGCTCACAGTGATCTTCAGGATAGCTCCCTAGTGGCTGCAAATAAGAGTCTTATTGTTTGATGAATGGTCTTCTCCCATACTGTGATGGGAAGAATAATAAAAGCAATGGCAATATAGTATGAAAGAAGCATTTTCTCGTCTGGAAGAAAACTATGGTCTTCACAAACTATTTGGAAGGTCCAAAAATAACTTGTACAGTTCATTGAATTTTGAAGAAAAAGTAAGCTATGATACAGGAGAAAGAGGTTTAAAAATGAAGTGGAAAAAAAGGTTTATACTTTCATTGGCTAAAAAGGGATCTATTGAACAGTAATTATGCACACCAAGGAAGCACTGTCTCTAGTGCATTTAAAAGGGAATATTGAGGCACGTTATAGGAGCATGGTGTGGGGGAGTTTTTTTTCCTGGGCGGGGTAGGGCTGTCTTTATGAAAACCAGAGGCTCTAAAATAAATAATTTTGTCATTGGTTGTCCTGTCAGTTCTTTTGGGTGACTTTATGAAGTGTTTGTGACCTTTGAACTTTTGAATCATTGCATGAAGGGAGAAGAGTGGTAAGATACAGAACAGAACCTTGGCTTCAGCAGGATGTTCCTGTAGCCTGTAGTACTGGAGACTCAAGGAGGAGGTGGTGTGCCTCAGAGATTGGGGCACTTTTCCTGCTCTGTGACCTTGGGCAAGTCCACTCTTCTCAGGGTCTCAATGTCTTTCTTTTTATATGAAATTATGGGATTGAACCCATCTGAAGTCCTAGGCTCCATCTGGGTTTATAACTGTATAATATGATAGCATTTTCTCTTCAGAGGCTGTCAGTCATTGAGGTCAAAGCCATGAAGTCTCATCTGTAGCACTGTTAGGTAGAGTGCAAATGTTTACATTTCTGTTTGTGTTATGGGAATCGTGGTAATACAATCAATTTTAGAACACTCCATCCGCCTTTCATCCTGGAGGAGAAGTGATTCGACTCGTCTTCCACCCTTTCCTGAGTTGATGATGGTAGCACAAAACCTGGCCCTTTAGAGCAGTAGGACAGAAATGTAACTGTCATTCGAAAGTGCTTTGTGTGCAGACAGAGGGACAAACTACTCTGCTCCCCACTGCCACCTCAGAGTCAGACAACACAGACTGAGTGAGTGCTCACAATCTGAAGGTTAGAAGACCAAAATCAAGATGTCAACAGGGTTGATTTCTTCTGAGGCCTTCTTCTTTGGATCATAGATGCCTTTTCTGTCACCCCCTGTCTCTTCACAATCACAATGAGTTCACTCTTTATGGGTCTGCCTTTCTGCCCTTCTCCCCTCTTACTTAATAATATAGAAGTATTTGTGGGATAGACACTCTGACCACCCCCTTTGAATTTTTGTACGTTATTCACTTTGTGTATGAATGTGTGTAGGGGTGTGGGGGATGGGAGTAGGAGGTGTATATCATGGCTTGTGGGTTGAGGCAAGAGGACAGCTCACAGGAGTCTGTTCTGTATCTTTACCATGTAGGTACCAGTAATAAAATTCTGATTATCAAGCTCAGTGTCAGGGTGCCTTTACATGCATCACCACACACACACACAGTACAAAAATAACGTGATTTTTTAAAGAATGATTTATTTTTGTGTGCATTGGTGTTTTGCCTGAATACATATGTTTGCGTGAGGGGTGAGGGTGTAGGATCTTCTGGAGATAGAGTTACAGACAGTTGTGAACTGCCATGTGGGTTCTGGAAATCGAACCCAGCTCCTCTAGAAGAGTAGTCAATGCTCTTAACCACTGAGCCATCTCTCCAGTCGTAACGTGATCGTTTTTAAAGGAGCTTGCTAAACTATCTAGTCTACTAAGACTGCCATCTTATCTTTAGAAAAACCGTCTCACTAGCCCTAACAACCTTCTTTTAATTTGATTACCTCTGTAAATTTTCTTTCTCCAAATTGGGTTGCATTCTGAACACACTGGTGGTCAAGGCTCTAACATATCACTGGGTGAGCATACAATTTAACCATAACATGACTCACAAAAAAGAGACTTCCTATCAGTTTGTGTTACCTGGAATCTTTTCAGAGAGCTTCCCTCTTCCTACATGCAAAGGAGAAAATGATTCACTCTTGGCACTTTGCTCTGGCAGCAGGAAATTGCCATAGCAAACCGTTGGGGGAGCACCTGCATAATTCAGTTGTGACAGTAACTGTATTTCCTCCCACAACCCCTGGCTGAGCTGTTCCATCTTGGGGACACAGCATGTTCAGCATGACCACTGTGAAGCAAGCCAGAGCTTCCGCTGTAGGCTGGACATGACACATGGAGTAACTGTCTTCCGGTGGGAGGCAGAAACTACCTATCAAAGGGAAACACCTGTCACAGAAGGTTCACTGAAGCCTGAGAAAATAAAGGTCAATGGCTCTGGGCTGAGCTACTGCCATTCTCCACCATCATTCCAGGGCAGAAGGCAGCTATCAATTCATAATGCTACGAAAGGAGCTAGGAAGCCAGGGTGGTGAGCACTGTCCTACAGAGATAATAAGCCCTGAAAGAGGGAGTCTGAAGAGCAGGGACAGAGTGGAAGTCAGGGAGCATGACTCAGGGCATAGGAGGGGTTAGGGCCTATGCCGCTCTCTGAAAGTGTGTGTGTGAATGTGAAGTTGAGTGTTTTGTACGCATGTGCATAGGGGTTGTGAAGTATGTGCACCTGTGTATCTGGGTGACTGCCTGGATAGGAGAAGTAGGGAGAATGGGGGTGGGGGAGAGAAAGTCTTAAAACTATGACAAATTGATAGACATCTGAAATACTTAATTGCCACAAAGTGCTCTGAGGCCTTACTTACAATTAACTTATCTAAACTCCAGGTTAGGAAACTGTAAATGGCTGTGAAACTAATTTAGTCACACAGGTGTTCTTAACCTGAGGGCTATTGACACTGACCCATTCCCTGAGGCCCAGGAAAAGGACTGGGTTTTAATATAATTATTTCCCTGTGTGATCCTCTGAGTTGTATTTTATACATTGTAAAACATCCAAAGTAGGGATACATAGTTCTTACCATGTTGGTTAGACATGGCATTCATATACACAATAAAGGTTAAAACATCTCTAGGTCAAAACTGGTGTTTTCATCAGATTAAGTAGAATATATTAAAATGAATTAAAAATGTGAGTGTTGCACATAACAAGGAAAATATTCTGTACAACTTATGTCTTAGAAATGCTTATAAATAGGCACATTGTGTATACTTGTGTGATTATGTATTTATTTCTAGTTGTAGAACATGGTGAAACATGTTTGATAGTCAGTGGTCTTCAGGCTACTAGACATCAGGACAAAGGCAAATCAGCCTGTCATTTAAATGATAAAGAAGGACTGTGGCGAGCCTCTTCTGGGTTAGACTGGAGTAGTCTGCACAGTTTAGGCATCTTCTGGCCATCTTCCTAGGGAATGGGGATCACAGCCAGTAAAAGATGGCACATGCGTCTCTGCTTTGTGAAGACCTGAGTTAATATGAGTGTCTCTGAGACGTCAGTCAGTTCCCGGGGCTACCAGTCTACAGAAGGTGTTAGAGCCAGAGAGGCCCTGTTTCCTGGGTAGAGGCTCTTCCTGTTATTGCTGCCAGGAAGTATCATCTTCTGTGTGAAGACATCAATGCCACCAGAAGATGCAGAATGAATGTCTTTTCAGGAAGGTGACAGCCAAGGAGAAAAGCCAAAAGGAAGCCAAGAGACGTGGAGGGCAGGGAGGTGAGAAGGAGCAAGCACACAGGGAAGGAGGAGGGCCAGAGAGCAGTGAAAAATAGGGAGCAAAACACGGAGCTGGGCCAGCTGAGCTGAGAGTGTGGGAAGAATCTACTGCACAGCGCCGTTAACCTCCTGCAGGAGTCACCGCATCAGGTAGAATGGGACCAAGGGGAAGACAAGGCCATTGAGCTGGAATGCTCAGCAGATGTAAATCTTGGAATGAAGTCAGGCTGCTACTATTAGAAATGAAGGAAGCCAGGACTAAGGCTGTCAGCTACTGTACTGTGGTTAACCTACTAGTAACTTTAGCTAACTCGGGTTCACTTGGTTTGTTTAGAAAATGTAAGCTCCATTAGAGCAGGGGCTTTTCTTTTCCTTCCCATTTTCTCAGTTGCCCTCAGAGAGGCCTCAGTACACATTTGAAAAGGAATCTAAATGGTCTGCTGGAAGTTACTATTGGAAATTACTGGAAAGCGCTGGGTCGACAGTCCAGCCAGTAAAGGATTTTCTGAGCAAAGACCCAATTGCTATCCCTCAAACCCATATTAAAAAGCCAGGCCTGGTGAGGGACGCTGGAGAGCAGAGGGGGATGGATCCCCAGTGTTCACTCATCAGCAAGGCTAAGCATAATTAGCAAGCCTCAAGGCAGGGAGAGACTGTCTCACAAAGCAAGATGAATGACTCGTGAGGAATGAAACTCAAGGTTGACCTCTGACCCTTATACACAGGCTCACTTACACCCATGTGAGTGTACACTGGCACATCCAAGGACGCAAGCATACTCGTGCTCACACACACACTCATAGGATATTTCTTGAAATAGTAGCAACACTAATAACTAAATTTAATATATTATACTTAATAGTTAGCAATCAATTTCATGCATGTTATCTCACTTAATCCTTACAGAGTTCCATCAAATATCACTGGTGTGTTTTTCATTTTAAAGTAGAGAATGCTGGTTCTACACCACTCTATTACAAATGTCTGGGATTTAATCAATATTCACTAATATCAAAGCTGACTTAGCACTTGGCCTGTTTTTGCATGTTGAATGTTTTATATAAAAGCTTTGTAGATCTAAGGAGGTGTTTCCCCGGCAGGCTTTCTGCAACCGTAATGAAATATCTAGATAGAAAAACACTGTTTCGGCCAGGGGGTGGTGGCACACTTTTTACCCCAGGCAAAGACAGGTGAGCTCAAGGTTGTCCTGGTCTACAGAGTGGGTTCCAGGACAGGCTCCAGAGCTACAAAGAAAGCCTGTCTCAAAAAATCAGAGAGGGGGAGAGAAAGACAGAAAGACAGAGAGACAGAGACAGAATTCTTTTGATTCACAGCTTGCAAGGTCTTTGTCCATGGTTGACTGGTTCTGATGCCTCTGGGCTATGATGAGGCAGTATTTTTAGTGAGGAGCCCACGGGGACCAAAGCTGTTCATATCATGGTGGCCAGGAACTGACAAGAAGGAATTGGAAATCAATGTCTTACAATCTTCCTCCAGAGCCTACCCCAGTGATATAAAATTACCCACTTCTTAAAGTTTCACTGCCCCTAGTTGGGTACCAGATTTTTAAAACAAGAAGGGACATCAGGGCATATTTCAGATCTAAACTAAAGCAAAAGGTGTGTGTACCAGCCTGAACTCTCCAGAAAGCAGAAACCCTGATGGAATTAGGAGTGTCTGCAGAAGAGAGGTTCACAAGTGTGAGCTACAATGGGAGTGAGCCAGGTCTCCGCCCACCTGCCAATTACATC